TATTAAATCTTTTGTTCAAGTATGTCACTCCCTATTACATGTATTACGCTCAACATTTACTGGATTATTTTTCCTTCGGAATACCTTTTATTGTTCAGATTACATTGTGTTATGTGTATTATTCGTCATGATATAAAATAAATGTGTTCGATTTACAAGATATGTGTGTTGGGTAACTTCAACTGCACACGGGGTATTTTCGATCGATGTGCAAATATAAATGAAATTATTCGCGTCATCTCTAATTTAAAAAAATACATATATATTAATTTAAATTATTCTGTTGTAAAACATAAAAGATTGTGAAAAAATGCTGACAAAAAGAAAAAAAAAGCAATTTTCAAAATGTACCTAATTTGAAGACATTAAGTGCACCAGGTGCCTAGAGACTAATTTACCGATTTGTCAAGGCATGCTACAAATATATATATGCGCAGGCATCTAAACCGCATGTAAACAAAACAGATGATTTTTTTTCACGGTTATAGAACTAGTTTCTACGGAGTATTCTTGTACATAATACTTATCCTAATACTTTTTAAGTTTTTTTATACGGATGGTGGTCATGAGTTTTTTTCTGGTAACAAATAGCATTGCGTCATTTTCATTGGTCGAACTGAGTTACCTGCTGACGCCGTATTCATGCAAAGGGTAACTTCGGCCGATTTCTGTTCAGCTGATTTGCATTTTATTTGTAAAAACTAAATACTATAAATTTAAAAGGTATGAATTTAAGTTGCAAATTTAAACATAGTTGATAAATTTCACGCCAGGAATATCCACTGTGTCTTTCTGTATATACAAGATATTTTTAGAGGTGATAAACTGATAATTCCCCGCAATGGTTTAAAAATACTCGTCCGTAATTTTTCGGGCGATAAAGTTTCTTCTTGGATGTAATTTTCCAGTAAAGAAATAAATTTCACCTATTATTATCAACATTGATTTGTATATGAAAAATGCATTTTCTTTCTGCATAAAATAGATGTGTGTACACTATAATGGGTTATAAACAAATTATTTTAAGGTATTTATGAACAGTCGAAATTAACCAGGTGGTCGAAGTTACACTCTTCTGTGACCATCCTAACCTATATCCTGACGTTAAAAAAAAGTCTTGTATCTATGTAAGTAAATTACTGCATAGTTACACCATTTGATAAATAAATGCATCAATCAGTGGATAAGTTTGTAACGTAGACCTTCTGATTTTAAATTCATTTATTTACCTCACTCGGCACACCTCGGCCGATTCGTACCTCATCTGGATGAAGGTGACGGAATCAGCTGAGGTTTGCCGAATGTCATTTACCTTCGACCAGCCTTTAAATATTGCAGTATTTTTCTTTGCATCATCATAGGAAATTGACAAGTGCTGTCTACCCTTCAAACGAAATCGGGAGACGTTTTCCGCTCTGAATAATTATGAGATAATATTCATAGCCTAGGGAATGCAAGGTTTTCAGACTTGATTTTTAAGAAAACCGATACTTGGTCATAAAATAAAATTACCATTTTTTAATTGACCATTAATTATAAAACCAAAGTATGGCATCATTAATATTAGTCATGTCATATTTTGAATATTTTAGGGGGGGGGGGGGCGTGCGCCCCCAAGCCCCACTTAAATCCGCCAGTGGGGGGCAGGCCCCTAAACCTCCTCTTAATCTGTCAGTGTTTTCTTTCATTATACGGACTTGCAGAATAAGCGAAATACTCCAGACATTTAATAAAAATCTCAAACCCGATCTAAAACGCGTTGACAAAGTCAAACCAGACGGTTTTAGTTTTTACGGCATTTTTACAGTGATATGAGAAAAGTCGGATAATTGCTGTTAATTTTAAGAAATAAAGTTCGGCATTTTTCAACCTCGTTCGGTATAATATAATTTACTGATAATTTTTTCCGTTAAGGAGGAACACATGGACGAAGGATAAAAAAAGAGGTATTCTGCATGTACATGTACACATCATTGCTATAATTGTGTACTCGGGATTAAACCGAAAATCCTTCGTTACATTGTATTTGGGTATAATTTTCACATGTTCTCAGGCGGATAATCATTTATTTTTATCTGTATAAAGACAATAATTTCAGTTAATAGAGAAATGTTTTTATTTCGTCGTTTTTTCCCCATCCTTTTGGTTTACACGTTTGCTTTGTACACAAAAGCGTGTGTTCATATACCTCTGTTTCTACACGCTATCGATGTGATCAGGGAGAACATGATATCCTCCAAAAATTTACTTCTTATGAAAACACTCAATGAAAACATATTAGGTGAAAATATATACACCCATTAGTATCTTAGTACCTTAGTATCGACCTGTTTAATATGCAATGTCACCAACCGTAACGATCGCTGGCCAGGACTTGAATATAATTTATTACCGTTATTAAAACAATTCGTCAGCTGAGTGGACCTATGATTTAAACAGTAAAATAGGGAAATTCCAGAGTTCGAAGTGTATTTATTTTGGGCGCTCTTCCGCATAAACAAATTAAATCGCATTTACGCGTACTTACATGCATGTACCAATAATTTGTGTCATGGCTAAATTCAATTTATTAGATGAAATAAAACAAATGCATAAGATTAATCTTCCTAAACAACACGTTTTTAAAACAATCTATCTGATATAACTGATATAAAATAACAAAGAAAATAAAGGGTTTGTGTTTGTATTTAATTTGGAATGAGAACAAATCTTAACCTGTCAAATCACTTATAAAACATACTTCGTTTTCCAGACACTAATTGCCATGCGTAATCTTCACATGCACTGACCAAGAGGTCACAAGTTTGAAATGTATGGCTTCTCATTGCGTGAGTTTTGTCAACACATGTCGGAGTAGACTATCTAAGCCAATTGATTCCCAAAGAAAACTGCATAGGAAGGGTTTTTTTTTTTGGTACACTTTTTAACGGGTAAAATTCATTCGACGCTCGATAGAATTTTCAAATACAAGTGAAATATTGAGGCGGTTAAGTTACATGCGTCGGACCTAGTATTTTGTATGCTATAATATTGTAAGTTAGGAAGAAAATAATACAAACTCAAAAGTACTTAATTTTATTTTCGATTTTCCTGACAATTAAAAATGTGACCTCTACATACAATTATCGTTTTTAATTATATACATCCTGTTTAATGTTCATGAAAGAAATAGCAACTCGTTAAATAATAACATAAGAGAGATAAATAAACTGTTTCTTTAATACGCAAAGAAAGTGGTCTTTTCGGCATTCAAAATGCATTGAATTTGAAGTGAATAAGTGAAAGGCAGTTAAGACTAGCTGATTAAAACGAGCGAGTGATAATTAAACAGTAAGACGGAATCATCTGAAAGATTCGAAATGATTTTAAAGTAATTTTCCACAACGCGCAATTATCTCAACAATGCAATGTTTATAAGAATAAATATGCAACTTTCTTGTAATTGAGCGAATAAAATATAAATTGAAATGTACTAGCGACTTAATCAAAGATATGAAATAATCTGAAAGATTCAACATATTTATCCACTCATCACTTAGTTAAAATGTATTTGGAATGGCCATTCTATGGTTTGTTTTGTGTATGACCTTAGGTCGCTGGTTCACACGCCGATTGATCCTCGGTGACCTCCTTTGCCACGCGCTATCGAGGGAGGGGTTACATAATTGTAAACACATGAGGTGAATGTAAAAGGCGTGTACTTAATGGCTGTGAATAGTCTATGTTTAAAGTTTTGTTTTATTTTCTAACTTTATTGTTTGTTTTTATATGATAAGAAGAAAAGGTTATCTTTTTTTCCCTGTTTAGTAGAGTGGTTTATCCAAATTTGAAAACAAACGAAATAAAAGGGAAAGTTGTCAGTAAATAATTTGGAAATAAAGCACAAAATACTTCAAAAACCTGATTCTAAAGAATATAAGCATCTAATATAGCAAGGTTTATTATTTATAGTAAGTTTATTTTAATTACACGCATGAAGAGCTCTTGTTTATTTGCTGAATGAAAACACTTACCTGTATATGAGTTATGCTTCTAGCTCATTTAGAACACAAGACTCAAACAAAATAACATTTTCTTGAGATCAATAAGATGTTAAATAACAACTTTAATTACGGCAGCTATTTCGAAATATTTACCGTTTTTGAGTTATAAAGCAAAAACTTTAAAGGGCCCCAGATCCCTAATCTTAGGGGCCAGACCCTTTTTAGTGGTCTCAAATGAAAGGCCTTAAAATTGTGCACAACTTTTATTCTACATGTTTTATCAAAATATTTTTAGTTTAGAAGATAAAAAGTAAAATATGTGTAAATTTTCGCTCTTTTTGGCGTTCTAATTTTTGACCCCTCTCTAGCGCCATTTTGAATACAGAAATTGAAAAACAAAAACCGATGTGCACAACTTCAGTGCTTCTGTTATTTAAATTCGGTAGAATTTCTACTCCAGCTTCAGTAGTCTCTGAGCCTTTGTCTGGAAATGAAGCCTACTAAATTTTCATTTAAAGGGAGATAACCCAAAAGCGGAAGTGGGTTTTTGAAATGTTTGACAGCATTCTGATAGAATTTTGTAACGTCTTTAAACCCTGGAAATTTGAGCAAAATCCATTGAGAAATGAGCAAGATATGAGGTCTCAAAGTTGGCGTCTAGGGAAAAAAAAAAAAAGAATAATAAGAATAATCTTAACCATCAGAATCAGTAGAAGGTCTTCCGCCTGTAGCGGAAGACCTTAACAATATATTCCCAAACTTCGTTGGGGGAACATACTAAACCCAATTTACACATTAATGAATATTAAATTTGTTACAATACTGAAGTGTAGAGGATCGACACAGTTAATATAAGATGTTCATGTTTTGTGATATCGTAAATAAATTCATACAAAATTAACAATATATTAATTGCAAAAAAATGTAATTATTTAAAAAAAAAATTCATTGAATTATGCCCAGATGTGAATAAGTAGACATTGCTTAAGATAACAACAACTGTAAATAAGGATTTACCAATCCAGTAGGAGTCATTTGGGTTCCCAAACCCATTCTTGTATTCGGCCCACGTTCTGTCAAAACTCACGGATCCACTCATCCGTTTCTGGATTGCCTACAAGTTATCAATAGAAAATAAATATCTTGTAGTCTGAAGATCTTCTGTTTATCTTTCTGTTTTGTTTTACTTGTATTTTCAAAAAAAAAAAAAAAAAAAAAAAAAAAAAAAAGAGAGAGAGAGAGAGATCTTACTGTCCACCCTCCACCTTCAGTCTCCATATCACAGTACACGCTAACCTCGATATGAAAGGGACTAATTTTATATAAACCAGACCGTGTTTGTCCTTGTAGATAGTGGTCCTTGCAATCCGTTTTCATTTTTGAACCTTTAAGAAAGAATGACACATTCTAATAATAATAATGACACATAATGATAATGATAACTAGAAACCTTGTTGCCATGGCAACAAGAAGGTCTTCCGTCCCTTCTCTGTCATCAGGGAAGGTGATTCCCCACAAAGCAACTTTTGTTATGCTTTGCATTAAACTGGAACGTAAAAAATACGAGACATCATTTTGAGGGGGGGGGGGGGGGGTGGAGGCTATGTCCAGAAAGTCTTTTTGTGAAATTTTTAAAGCTTTGATATTGTCACAGTTAATTGTATCAAATAGATACATGTATATGAAATCATGATAAAATAAGACTTTTTTTTTAATTTTAGGGAAAATGTACACTGATTTGTTTCATTCTACCTATTTTCATGCATTTGGTTACACCCCCCCCCCCCTTCCGAGTCCGCACCACACACGCATAAGAAATTGACTGACAATTTACCCATGTATTACGTGAAAGGATATTTTTTCGCTTAATGTTTCGAGTAGTTTTATTCTGTATATGCACTGCATATCATTAATTAACCATACTTTTATGTGCTAAACCGCTTTAAGCCCTTACGGATCTTGCTCTGAACTAAATATCATTGAAGTTTATTTTTCTCTTATTTGAAATTGCTATATGTTATTCAATCAACATGAAAAAGTAACAAATTCTACTTTCAAAATACAATTCAGCGAATGTCCAATTTGTGATACAATTGCATAGGTATTTAGCTACATAACATTTGTACCAACATGTTTACCTCGTTTTGTCATATCACAATTGCAGCTATGTACATTAATTAGTGCAAAATTCAACTGGAAACTCTTTATGAGGGAGTAATAAGACACGCGGATATTGTTGCCATCAAACGCCGCTGCTCTGACGTCGAACGACATAGCGCCCCCCCCCCCCCCAAAGATAAAATCTTATATTTGAGCCCCAAAAAATGAGAAAAAAATTCGGATATTCTTTGGATTGAATCCGGATCGCCAACGTGAAAATTCAACATGCTAACCATTACGCTATCAATCACCATCGCTTAAAATTGAAAAATGATAAATATTTAGAGTATAGGTTAATCAATTTTTAAACAAATTACATATTTAGCATTCTTGTAAGACTTTTTATTTAACCTATCAATATCATAAAAAAATAGTGAAAAACAAAAAAGTTAAAAAAATACCCTTTTTAAATCACTTCCGGACGAACCGGAAGTGACAACGACACACGAAATGTTTACATCACACATCAAAAAAACGACATTCTATCATACCTGAAAGTTTCACACTCCTACCTTTAACAGTTTCTGAGAACATTCACGGACTAGATTTTTAGTGGAAAAATTGAAAAATCGTAATAATTCCTGACCGGAAGTAACTTTTTTCCAAACTTTTTCAATATTTGAAAATGGCATGAGATACATGTAACACATCATTCCTGAAAATTTGGCTGAAAATGATTGAGTAGTTTTTTATATATCGCGATTTGAAAAGGTAAAAAAAAAAATGAAAAATAATAATGATAATAATAACTAGAAACTCATTGCAAGCAATGAGAGGTCTTCCGTCCGATTCTGAAAATAAAAACGAAAATTCAAGCTGAAAAAGTGATAAAAGAAATTCTGGAGATTTAACCCTGGTCGTCAGCGTGAAAATCCAACGTGCTAACCATTAACTTTTTTGCATCACTTCGTGCCACCACCGGAAGCAACTCTCAGTCCTGAAAGTTTCAGACTTCAGTCGTTTATTGTTGCCAAGCAATTGTGAGAACAAATCCTAAATTTTGACCCCTACCGAGCTTCCACATTCAGCACTTCCAGAAAATATCCAAACCCAGGTGCAAAATGGCAACATGTCCTCTATCATCACTGAAAATTTCAGCGCTCTAACTTAAGCCGTTTTTGAGTTCCATCGCAGACAAGGAGGTCCTCTAAATTTTGACAAAAGGGAGATAACTCCCGACCGGAAGTGATTTTCAAAAAAAAGAGTGAGATTTAAACGATTTAATTTTTCAAAAAATTTAAATTGCACTGAAATATTAAACAAAAGTCAACTTACATATTTTGAAGGAAGAGGAAATCATTTGTTGCGTTTTTTATGTTTGTGGAAGGAATTTAAATTTTTTGAAAAATTTAAATCGTTTAAATTTCACCCTATTTGACCTTTGAGAGATTTTAAAACACATTGTGTGATGTTTTCCATCTTTCAAAATACAGAGATAGTCCTTGTTTTAACGTTTGGATTCAATTTAAATTTTTTGAAAAATTTAAATCGTTTAAATCTCAGTCTATTTGACCTTTGAGAGATTTCAAAACACATTGTATGATGTTCTCCATCTTTCAAGATATAGAAATAGTCCTTGTTTTAACATTTGAATTCAATTTAAATTTTTTGAAAAATTTAAATCGTTTAAAATTCACCTTATTTGACCTTTTAGAGATTCAAAACACATTGTTTGATGTTCTACATCTTTCAAAATACAGAGACAGTCCTTGTTTTAACATTTGGATTCAGTTTAAATTTTTTGAAAAAACTTAAATCGATAAAATTTTACTTTCTTTGACCTTTGAGAGATTACACCTCATTGTAGATGTTCTCCATCTTTGGAAGCAGTTTTGAATTTTTTTAAAAAATTTAAATCGTTTAAATTTCACTCTTTTTGACCTCCAATAGACTCCAAATCACTCTCATTCATGTTCTCATTATTTTAGATGTCCTTGATTTCATATTTTAAGGCTTTTAAATTATTCCAAATTTGAAAATTTTTGAAGTTTTAAATGCTGTAATAAAAATTCATCAAGTAGGAGCTTACCGCTTTCAACATTAGAGGATATATCAAAATCTTACGATTTTACAGGTTTTAAAATTTGAAATTACAGTATTCAAAACTTTCAATGATTTAAATTGAATACACAAATTTTCATAATCACAGGTACATTATGAAATCACTATTTCAGACTTAATTGAATGTCCTTGCTTTCTTCTAGGTCACTGTGTATTAAACGTCGCTGAAGAAAATCGATAACTTATACATGGGCCGTCAAAATTCTCTAACACACCTGAGCTCATATTTTCTTTAAAATTTCACCTAAAATCAAAACAAATATACTATAAGAAAGGTCACAGGAAGACCAATCAGAAAGTGTAAAAAGTTGTAAAATCGGTCAAGAAATAAAAGAGTAAAGATTTTTTTTAAAATAAAAGGATATCCGCCAAAGATGAAAGAGTACGGTCATCCACAAGTGTCCTTGATAATGAGTTTGACATGTCCTGTCAAAAAAACGCTAACATACCTGAGCTCATATTTTCTTTATTAGTGCATTTACAAACAAAAGAAATACATTGTTGGAAAGGTCTCGTAAAGATCTATTTGATGGTGTATAAAGTTCTAAAATCGGTCAAGAAATAAAAGAGTAATGCTTTTTAAAAGAAATCAAAGGATATCTGCCAAAGATCAAAGAGTACGGTCATACGCAAGTGTCCTTGACAATGATTTTGACATGTCCTGTCAAAACAAAAGGCTAACTTACCTGAGCTCATATTTTCTTTATTAGTGCACTTACAATAAAACCAAATATACTGTTGGAAAGGTCTCATAAAGATCTATTTGACGGTGTAAAAAGTTTTAAAATCGGTCAAGAAATAAAAGAGTAATGATTTTTTAAAGAAAAATCCTTAAAGTACACTTGCACTCAAGTGACCTAACACACCTGAGCTTATATATTGTTTATTAATGTACTCACATGCAAAACAAATACATTTTTGGAAAGTTCTCGCTAAGATCTATTTTACAATATAAAAAATTTCAAAATTCGATTAAATTTTTTTTTTGAAAAATTTAACTTTAAAATTTGAAAAATTCAAACATCTTCTTAAAATTTCAAAAGTCAGGTGCACATGTCAAGGTCACAATTCTATCATTCCTGAAAATTTCAAATTTCTATTTTGCGCAGTTTCTTCGGAGTAGGACAGACCGGAATTGCAGAAAAACGTCAAAAATACGTCATATTTCGCGACCGGAAGTGAAATCATCAAAAATGGAAAAAAAGTCCCGAGGGAACATCGTTCCCTATCATCTCCGAAAGTTTCATAAAAATCCACCGAACCGTTACTGAGATACCGGTGTAGGAAAAAAAAAATAAGAAGAAGAAAAAGAAACAATACAATAATAGAAGGGTCTTCCGCTGAAGACGGAAGACCCTAATAATAATAAAAGTGAAAAAGAAACAATACAATAATAGAAGGGTCTTCCGTTGGAGACGGAAGATCCTAATAAAAGTGAAAAAGAAACAATAGAATAATAGAAGGGTCTTCCGCTGAAGACGGAAGACCCTAATAATAAGAAAAGTGAAAAATCAACAATAGAATAATAGAAGGGTCTTCCGCAGAAGACGGAGGACCCTTAATAATAACTAGATGAGATCTCGTTGCGAGCAACGAGTAGGTCTTCCGTCCGATTTTTCGATAAGATGGGATATGATTTTGACTATGATCTTTGTGGAAGGAAAATAATAAATAGACTTCCCTAATTAGATTCCATTCTTTTGATTTATATAACATTTTCAAAGAGCTATAGATGACATGCTTTTGGCCCTTCTGAACCCCTAATTTGAGTGGTCAGCCCCTTTTTTGATATCAGTTGAATGGTGTTGTGATTTTTAAAACGTTATGTTCAAGAAAGATTCAGAGATTTCCTTTTGTTGTGGAGATATGTTGAATGGAAATATTTAGGGGTCACCCCTCCAAGTCCTTAAAAGGGGCCGTTTGACAAAAACTGAAAGGGTGCATATTGTTTAGAACATTATTCTGACCATCTTTTGTTCTGTATTGCTTATCAAAATATTTCCCCTTTTCGAGATATAAAGCGTCAAAGATTTAGCATTCTGGCCCCTTGTGACCCCTTATTACGTAACATATGATCAGAATCTTATCATATATTGTTGTAAATCATTAAGATAAACATCTTTGCTTCAGTAATGTATTACAAATTATTGATTGTTACAGAGTTAAAGATGAAAGACTTTTGGCCCCTCTCAGGCCCTAATTTGAGGGGTCAGCCCCTTTTTCTTGATATCAAATGAAAGCTCTTGTGATTTTGAAGACTTTTTGTTCAACAACTATTCAGAGATTTCTTTTTATTGAGGAGATATGCTGAATGGAAATATTTAGGGGCCACCCCTCGAGGTCCTTAATGGAGCCGTTTGACAAAAATTGAAAGAGTGCATATTGATTAGAACATTATTCTGACCATCTTTTGTTCAGTATTGCTTATCAAAATATTCTCCCTTTTCGAGATATAAAGCGTCAAAGATTTAGCATTCTGGCCCCTTGTGACCCCTTATTACGTAACATATGATCAGAATCTTATCATATATTGTTGTAAATCATTAAGATAAGCATTTTTGCTTCAGTAATGTATTACAAATTATTGATCGTTAAAGAGTTAAAGATAAAAGATTTATGGACCCTCTCAGTCCCTAATTTGAGGGTTCAGCCCCTTTTTCTTGATATCAAATGAAAGGTCGTCTCATTTTGCACAACTTTTTTTTATATGTTTTAACAAATTCCTAACATGTATGAAGATATGCAAGAAAAGGTGTTAAATTTTGTGAGATGTTTCTGAGACATTTTCTGAGCCCTACCGAGCTTTGGCGCCTTTTGCGCTAGAGAGATTTGGACACCTGCCTGCAAATCTACAAACCTTCCCCTACCTTCACTGAAAATATTGAATCAATATCTTAAGTCGTTTCGGAGGAGTTTCCAGGACAAGCCGACCCTCTGAAAATCAGAAAATCCTAAATATCTCGAGATGGAAAGTGAAGTCATCAACGAAAAAAAAAATCCAATAAGGTTCAGATCAATACCTATCAGATCTGAAAGTTTTATGAAAATCGGCCGAGACGTTACCGAGAAATTGCGTGCACAAAATCGGTAATAATAATAATAATAATAACTAGATGAGATCTCGTTGCGAGCAACGAGTAGGTCTTCCGTCCGATTTTTTCGATAAGATGAGACATGATCTTTACTATGATCTTTGTTAAAAGATAATAATATATAGACTTCCCTAATTAGATTTCATTCTATTGATTTATATAACATTATCAAAGAGCTATAGATGACATGCCTTTGGCCCCTCTGAGCCCCTAGTTTGAGGGGTCAGCCCCTTTTTCTTGATATCAATTGAAAAGTCCTGTGATTTCTTTTTGTTGTGAAGATATGGTAAATGGAAATATTTAGGGGCCACCCCCCCCCCCCAACTCCTTAATGGGACCGTTTGACAAAAATTGAAAGGGTGCATATTGTTTAGAACATTATTCTGACCATCTTTTGTTCAGTATTGCTTATCAAAATAGTCCCCCTTTTCGAGATATAAAGCGTCAAAGATTTAGCATACTGGCCCCTTGTGACCCTTATTACGTAACATATGATCAGAATCTTATCATATATTGTTGTAAATCGTTAAGATAATCATCTTTTCTTCAGTAATGTATTACAAATTATTGACCATTAAAGAGTTAAAGATGAAAGACTTTTGGCCCCTCTCAGCCCCTAATTTGAGGGATCAGCCCCTTTTTCTTGATATGAAATGAAAGGTCTTGGGATTTTGAAGACTTTTTGTTCAACAACTATTCAGACATTTCTTTTCGTTGTGGAGATATGCTGAATGGAAATATTTAGGGGCCAGCCCTCCAGGTCCTTATTGGGGCCGTTTGACAAAAATTGAAGGAGTGCATATTGCTTAGAACATTATTCTGACCATCTTTTGTTCAGTATTGCTTATCAAAATATTCTCCCTTTTCGAGATATAAAGTGTCAAAGATTTAGCATTCTGGCCCCTTGTGACCCCTTATTACGTAACATATGATCAGAATCTTATCATATATTGCTGTAATTTATTAAGATAACCATCTTTGCTTCAGTAATGTATTACAAATTATTGATCGTTAAAGAGTTACAGATGAAAGACTTTTGGCCCCTCTCAGCCCCTAATTTGAGGGGTCAACCCCTTTTTCTTGATATCAAATGAAAGATCGTATCATTCTGCACAACTTTTCTTCTATATGTTTTAACAAATTATTAACATGTATGAAGATATGGAAGAAAAGGTGTAAAATTTTGTGAGATGTTTCTGAGACATTTTTTGAGCCCTACCGAGCTTCGGCGCCTTTTGCGCTAGAGAGATTTGGACACCTGCCTGCAAATCTACAAACCTTCCCCTACCTTCACTGAAAATCTTGCCTCAATATCTTAAGTCGTTTCGGAGGAGTTTCCAGGACAAGCCGACCCTCTGAAAATCAGAAAATCCTAAATATCTCGAGATGGAAAGTGACGTCATCAACGAAAAAAATTTCCAATAAGGTTCAGATCAATACCTATCTGATCTGAAAGTTTCATGAAAATCGGTCAAGACGTTACCGAGAACTCACGTGCACAAAATCGGTAAGAATAATAATAATAATAGGGAAAAAGAAACCGAACGAAAACAATAAGGTCTTCCGTTGGAGACGGAAGACCTTAATAATAGGGAAAAAGAAACCGAACAAAAACAATAAGGTCTTCCGTTGGAGACGGAAGACCTTAATAATAAGAAAAGTGAAAAATCAACAATAGAATAATAGAAGGATCTTCCGGAGAAGACGGAAGACCCTAATAAAAAGAAAAGTGAAAAATCAACAATAGAATAATAGAAGGGTCTTCCGCAGAAGACGGAAGACCCTAATAATAAATGTAAAAAAGAAACCGAAGAATAATAGAAGGGTCTTCCGCTGAAGACGGAAGACCCTAAAAAGAAAAGTGAAAAATCAACAATAGAATAATAGAAGGGTCTTCCGCAGAAGACGGTAGACCCTAATAAAGGTAAAATAGAAACCTAAGAATAATAGAAGGGTCTTCCGCTGAAGACGGAAGACCCTAATAATAAAGGTTAAAAAAGAAACCTAAGAATAATAGAAGGGTCTTCCGCTGAAGACGGAAGACCCTAATAATAAGAAACAGTAGAATCACTATAAGGTCGTCCGTGAATCCGTGTGATTCCACACTAAACAACATGTTCTGCTGTGCATTCCCAGCAACACCTTACATAAAATATAATTAAACGTTTAAATTTTGAAAATATTGCAAAACTGGAACGGAAAAAAATACGAGACATCATTTTAAGGAGGGGGGGGGGGGGAGACCAATGTCCAAAAACAGCTTTCTGTGAAATTTTATAAACTTTGAGATTCTCACACTTAATTGTACAAAATACACAATTATGATAAATAAGATTTTTTTTTTCAATTTAAGGACTATCTACACTGATTTGTTTTTTTTTATCTTGATTTCACGCATTTGGTTTCCCCCCTCCCCCCTCCTCTCTGAGTCAGCACCACACACGCATAACAAATTGATTGACATTTACTGATGTATTACGTGAAAGCATATTTTATCACATACTGTTTCGAGTATGCAGATTTTTTTGTGTTTTATTGTGTTAATACATTGTATATCATTAATTAACCATACCTTTATGCGCTAAGTCGCTTTGAGCGGATCTTGCTCTGAACTAAAATGTTTGAAGTCTTTTTCCCTCTCATCTGAAATTGCTAGTTGTTATTCAATCAAGAAGAGAAAATAATAAATTCTACTTTCAAAATATAATTTGACGAATCTCAAATCTGTGATTCAATTGCATAGGTACCTATCTACATTCACATTTATCTTGTTTTGTCAAATCACAATTGCATGTATGCACATTAATTAGTGCACAATTCAACTTCAAACTCTTTATGAAGAAGTTAAAAGACACACTCCTATTGTGAAGTCAAACAACATTGCTCCGACGTTGAACGACATAGCTCCCCCGTTTAAAGATAAAATCTTAAATTTGAGCCCAAACAACAGTGTGAAAAAATTCGGACATTCTGGGGATTAAATCCGACTCGCCTGCGGCGGACACCATTACGCTATCAAACGCTTACCATTACGCTATCAAAGACCATCGCATCAAAGTAGCAAGTAATAAAGATCTAGAGTCGGGTTAACCAATTTTTAAACAAATTAAATATTCAGCATTCTTATAACACTCTCTATTTAACCTATCAATATCATAAAAAATAATGAAAAACAAAAAAGTAAACAAAAAAACTCTTTTAAATCACTTCCTGTGACGACCGGAAGTGGCGACGACGCATTAAATTCTCATCACACATCTACAAATCACATTCTATCATACCTGAAAATTTCAGACTCCTACCTTTAACAGTTTCTGAGAAAATTTACGGACTAGTTTTTTAGTGAAAAAAGTGAAAAATCTTAATAATTCCTGACTGGAAGAAATTTGTTCAATATTTCAAAATGACATGAGATAACACATCATACAAAAAAAAAATGGCTGGAAATCATTGAGTACTTTTTGAGATATCGCAATTTGAAAAGGTCAAAGAAATAATAATAATAATAATAATAATAATAATAATAATAATAAACACTAGAATCACTATAAGGTCTTCCGTGAAGAAGGAAGACCTCGATAATAATAATGATAATTATAACACACCCACACACACCCCCACACCCCCCCCCCACCCACCCACACACACAGAGAGAGAGAGAGAGAGAGAGAGAGAGAGAGAGAGAGAGAGAGAGAGAGAGAGAGAGATACCTTTCTTAACGGTTTGCACTGTTCTGTTATTTAGAAGTTCGTAAATTTCAGCAATCTTTCTATTAAACATTTGCTCAGTTTCTTGAATCTTGGTCTCACAATTCATCGCAATCTTCCTGTTTTCTTTTCTCTGTTCCAGCCTCAAAGAATTAACCTGTGTTTTCAATGTATCTACCGTCCGCTGTAAAGCATTATCCTGACTTAGAGTATCAACCTGTCTTTCCAAATTTTCTATCTTCTGTACTAAACTCTTGTTCTCTCTAATAAGATTATCAACTTGTCTTTTTAATGTTTCTACTCTCTGCGCTAAAGTATTTTCCCGAATTAAGGAATCAACTTGTCTTTTCAATGTATTTAGCGCCTGCTGAAGAGAGGAGACCCTCGTTTCTCTAAACGCCATGCTTCGCTTCACAGAACTAATGTCGTCCACTACTGCCTTAACATCCTTGACAACGGCTAAACGGATGAGAGTTTCCTGGTTGATGATCTGTCGAAGAACGTCGATTTCCTTAATGTCACGTCTTTCATTGATCAAAGCCGTAGAATTCGGATCGTTAGTACCTGTTAACATTGACCCCGTTCTGACTTGTGATATTGACATAAAAAGCAGTGAAAGAATAGAAAACATCATCTTTTCAATTTCGGCGTGAACCTACCAAAACAGAACAATGGTGTGCCTCAATCAGAGATTTTATACGGTATATATAGAGACGTTTGGGGATTTCCTCAATCAAAATGTAAAAAACCCAGAATTCTTGAAAGTACTTGGTGTTTTAACTGTATAAGGAATTAATTACACTGGGCCAAAAGATAACATACTTATCTCACAAAATATTTTTGGTTATACCGAGGTATTATCAAGTTGTTTTTAGACGAAATGAGAAATGATAACAAGGCCAGAAGTACTATGACAATTGAAACACTTTGCTGTTTTCTGTAGAAAGAGAAAAGATAATAAAACATAAGTACTCTGACAATTGAAACACTTTGCTGTTTTCTGTAGAAAGAGAAAAGATAACAAAACATAAGTACTCTGACAATTGAAACACTTCGCCGTTTTCTGTAGAAAGAGAAAAGATAATAAAACATAAGTACTCTGGCAATTGAAACACTTTGCTGTTTTCTGTAGATAATGTAAACAAATGAAATATGGGGAGATAACGAACAGTATTCGAAAGACCATTAAACATTACAAAATAGGAGCAGAGCAAACACGGATCAGTTGCCATGGAGGAGTGAGCATCTCCTGCCGACTGGCCAAACCCGCCGTGTGCTCCTTGTCATCCGTCGACAATTCAGTGTGTAAATAATGGCCTAATAATTATTATGAAAATGTCAGTCAGCATTTGACGTAGTGAAAGATTATATTTGCTGACAAGGTCAATCACATGCTACGTGTTTATTTCACTTTTAAATACGTAAATATTTCCCGGAAAATACTAACAAGGAACGTCAGAATCTAAAACTCGTCAAAATATGATATTTTACTTATATCAACAATTATCGCGAGTTTCTGTTGTTAACTCTCCTTTATATATCTTCCTTGTTTGTATTTCAATTATTTTACCTGATTTGTTTGTTTGTGTTTGGTAAAATGAATAGGAATATGAAATTAAAATGTATACGAATATATTTGAAATTTATATTTATTAATATTTTGAATTTATGTTTAACTTACTAATCAGAATTTTAATTCGAGCTAAAAGTCCTTACACTGACCCATAAAAATAAACTGAAATATAAAGAGCATGTTCGGGTTTTGTTTTTCGACTGAACACATAATGTAAACAACGTAAATTGGCAAATATGAAGATATTAATATAAAACCGTATTTGAGAACTTGCTGGGTTTTTTTTTTCTTAGAAGGGGCATTTTTTAATTGTCATCTCTCTCGAGAGATGACACATTACGTTTGGAAACCAATGAAGTCCCAGTGTAAGCTGCCATTGATAAGCTCGCGGTCTGACAAATGACGCGATTTCTTAATATAGAGATGCAGACAAAACTGCTCAAAGAATGAGAGATCTGTCTTACAGACCATCTTAAAGAAAAACTACAGGAATCATAAAGAGTCATAGAAAAATGATCGCTTTGGTAGTAGTGGGTCTTCAAAATACGTGCAGTTATCTACGCTATTGTGTAAATGATGGTCAGCCTGTGTGTATCAAGATGCACTAAACATGGCATCAAATAGATCAGCCAAGGCGTGGATCCAAAAATTTACAGAAAAAAAAAAATCAAAGGGAAACAAACATATATATAAATACTTGCATTAAATGCTTAAATACGATTGGTATGAATTGATGGCGAAAACCTTACTTTTATGTGTACTTTAGTCATTCAACAACTTGCCGCCATTTCTAAAATAAATCAAATTTTATTCAGCGAATGAAATTAAAAGTACAAGTTAAGTAGAGACCCGAGAAACTATAGACATTGGAATAAAGATTATAAAGAATCATGCATTGTGAGTTTTTTCACGCATGTCTGCACTATTCTTTTTGTTTTGCAGGTTTCATGCATTTCACTCGAACCAGTAAATCAAAAATGTCATTTTGTGTTTAATAGTATCATTTCAAAAAAAAAAAAAAAAAAAAAAAAAAATTGATGCATAGGGAATAAAATTCAAACAAACAGAAATACGGAATAAGGAGGGGGATCTTTCACCGTGGGAAAAGTTATGTGTAGATACATGTATCAGGTCATTGGCCTCGTCATGATTAGCATCTTCCTCTTTTTTAGGAGCATTTTTTTTTTTAATTTCTAGATTTTAAAATTATTTGTGCATAAATAATTTTAGAGAGTGTTACTGTTATCTATTTGTCATGGTGTTCTGCAGGTCTCGTGTAACAGTAGCTCAATTTCACTTTAATATCCCCAGTAGCTCGATGGCCAAATCACTAAGGAGATTAAGGAAAATCTTTGAAAATCAATCGAGGGCCGGACTAATTTAGATTAGCGATTTAAAATTTCCTGACTGCTGTCAGAGTTCGCTGTTGTGAAATAAAGTGAAAAGGAACGATAAGGTTTTTCACTTCTTCTTGTATAACAATTGTTTACAAATTTTACGAATATATGTACTGCTTAGTGGGTATATTTTTAAACACATTGTACAAAAAAGTATTTGAAATTACTGTTGCAAATATTCAATGAAAGGCCACACCCTCTTTCCTTACACTTTTTGTTGCAGTAGATTCATATCCCCCCCTCAAATAAATCAATTTTTCGAGAAAGACCTAAAGTTTAAATCTGTCCTCCCCATCCACGAAATAGAAGTTTGGACACCCCCTATTTCTTAGTAAAAGATTGTTCAGGTAAGTTGTACTTTTTTTTCGGAATATCCCGCCCCTCCACTTACAAAACGATTCTTCTGCCTATAATAGTTGAGAAAAATGTTACATTCAACTGTTTATTCTGTGATATTAATGAAACCAAAGAGATGACATTTCAGGATTTCTGGAAAGCCAAACTTGAATTCAATCTAAAATTGATGTATCCTACGCACGAAGTATTCCTATCAATTTTTTTAATGGACACATTATTTAATTAAAAAAAAAAAGAGATTCACGGCGGGTGTTACCTGTCGGCAGGGAATGCTCACTCCTCTGAAGGCTTAGAGGTCTGTGTTTGCTCTTTTCCTATTTTGTAATGTTTAATGGACTTTTCAGCTCGAATACTGTTCGTTATCTCCACATATTTAATTGTTTAAGTAAATAATTGCGAGGCAACTAGCTTATATGCTTTAACAAAGGCAAAGATTTTTTTAATGCTAAAAAATGGTTTGATGATCACGGGCAGAAAATTACATTAAAAAAACCCATATATATTGATAGTAAAACCAGCAATTTTTTAAGGTCTGGTGTCTGAAAACAAAGAAACAGATATGAAAATGGCGGAACAAATTTCAATGAGAAATCCATGTAATATCTTTATTTTCAGACGTCTGTCATGTCGAGAAGAAGAAGGAAGATATAAACAGAATAGAAAGACGGTCGGTCGAAATATAAAATAAAGAAAATGGAATCTCCTCTGACTTAGTTATTAAAAAAATCTCCCTGTTTTCTCTTTATTATCACTAAAATAATTTTTATTATGATATTTAAAAAAGGCACTAAGAATTTAAATAGAAAGAGATTACATGTGATGCGTTTCGAAATAGTTGGTTAACGCAATACAAAAACAGGGGTATGCAGTTGTATATTGAATTTAATGAATATTCTTTGTTTAGTGATTATGTCAAATGTTAATATATTTGATATTTTTTGCTATAATTAAAAATACATTTTGTTACATGTGAAGATGTATTTCAAATTGTTTGTTTAATTTTTCTTTTTAAATTTTGAGAAGGAATTTATTAAACGAAAGATTCGTTACACATCATTCGTCTAAGATGATTTCGGAATATATCTTTCGATACTGATACATGTTCAGAATACGATCATGTTTTTAAATCACAAAAGAGGAAAAAAAAAAAAACAGTGATTGGTCAAAAAAAAAAATCTACAAAGAAATACAAATCTGTAAACAGATCATAAAACGCGGACTCTCCGGAAATTTATCTCATTTGAGCCGAATTATCTATCTTCTGACATTGTTTTCCGTTTTTGTAATTTTTTGGGCGTTGGTCAGAGAATATGTTTAGTGTTTTCCATTTGGGACCTGTACCCATCGAATCGTTCGCCCAACCCAAAAGTTACAACAATGCTTCCAATGGCTCTTGTTCCTATCGTTGATGTTTCAGGGGTCCGTGTTCGTCATACTCACAATGTGTATTGTTTAAATGGACTTTTGAACATGATTACTGTGCGTTATTTTTAAATTATAACACAAATTAAAAGATTAAAATAAAACAAACCATGAACAGTGAGGACAAACTTACTGGCATTTTATACTGTATTTGTTCATATTTACGTATAAAAATGAGTGTAATAAAAAATTGTACTTTTAATGTTTTAGAGTGTATAAATTTTCATTTTAACTATCCGTTATCTCCATGTGGCAAAATTATTGAATATGAACAGAATATTTCTTAGTCTTTATATAAATGCATCAATAGACAATAATAATGATATGAAATTTCAACATTTTTATCCAGGAAGGCCCACAGAAAGATAACCATTCACAAGGATGGCCATTTTATCAAGATTGATTGATTGATTGATTGTATATTGTTTTACGTCCCATTCGAGAATTTTTCACTCATATAGAGACGTCACCATATACCGGTGAAGGGCTTCAAATTTTGACCTTTACTCGGCACTCAGGGCCATTGAGCAGTGAGGGATCTTTATCGTGCCAACGCCTGCCGTGACACGGGGCCTCGGTTTTTAAGGTCTCATCCGAAGGACCCGCAACTTTCACTTCAAAGTGCCGAGCGCATGGCGAAGGAACAGTTGCTACCTATTTTTTATCGACTTAGGTCTGTCGCGGCCGAGATTCGAACTCACGACCTCCCGATCACGGAGCGAGCGCTCTACCGACTGAGCTACCGTGAACGGTCCTACCATTTTATCAAGAAGCCTTCATCAAAGCTAGTAATTAATAAATAAATATTAACAAAAATGAAAATGTCTATTTTATGAATATTGCTTATCATTGACTCGTAATAATAGTATTCTATTGCATTATCCATGTCCTTCTTTATTAAACCGCATCTGTAGAGAAACACCCCCCCCCCCCCCCCCAAAAAAAAAAAAAAAAAAAAATATATATATATATATATATATATATATATATATATATATATATATATATATATATATATATATATATATGTATATAAAAGAAAGATCAACAACAAAACTTTACTTTTGACGCGATTTCTTTCCGATTTCAGATTATAAAACAAATTAAGTGTAAAATTGTCAAAAACGTAGAAATTTATAATAAGAATAACAGATGTTTACTAGTGATACCTGATCATCATCATCATTGCCCCCTTAACAGTTGTTCCATGCCTTACTTAAGGATACCAAGGATCGTGCCAGTCTGCCGGGGACCACTGACCGTTGAGGAAGACAAAAGTTAAACCACCAGCCTCCTCTAATCTCACTGTCAGCAGCACAGTTACGTTCACTCCACCTGTCGTTATCCCTTCTGGGGTGGTGAATGACATCCCTGGCAGATCTTGGGAGGAATACCCAGTGTCTGTCATACTGTCACCTGTAGAAATAAAGGGAAAAATTATATTAAAAAAATAACTGAGTTCAAGGCATTTTATTGTCAATATTTAAAATGATTAAAGTGAATTATTTAAACCCAACACAAGATTTCAAATAAGTTAAATGGACTTTGAAATTATTTCAGGGGGCCGACTGGGATTTTCATTGCGCAATACTTCGCGCAGCATAGTAAAATAAAGCGTATTTACTCTTTGAAAGCAACTATTTTTACATAATTTATAAAAATTAACAAATTTAGGAATTCTCATGTTAAAAAAAATTAATTACGTTTTTAAATAACTGATTTTTAAACGATTTTTCAAATGATGGGTAAACAGACGTCGTAATAGTGTGTTTTTGACGTTATGAATAACCGAAGTTCTTTAAGCGGGGTCATTAATTATGCCATAAAATAAAAAGTATAAAACATATGCTCTTGAAATTTTAAATATAGGAAATTGAGAATCTAGCAATCATTTTTATAACTTTTTATGTAAATCTGTGGTATATGTCATGTTTTGTTGTACTCCATAAAAACAGGAAAATATCATGAATTTTGACATTTTGAGATGCCCCCTCTAGAAACCAGACGGTAGAATTTTGTGTTTCTTGCCAAATATGTACAATATAGTATTATCCATCAAATAATGTAATTTGAGCAAAAAGTCTATAGTAGTATTTGTATAATTTTCTCCTAAGTGCGAAAAAATGGTATTTTCCTATATAATCCTATTGTAAATGTACCTGTTTTTTGAGATGGTCCCTAAAAAATAACCAGAGGGTAGATTTTCACTAAACTTGGCATATATACTGAAGTCAATGTAAGGTACATATAGTATAAAATTAAAGAGTTTCTCTATAGTAGTTTTCACACAATAAAACCCCAGTCGGCTCCCTTAAATGATATTTGATACCTTCAGAAGAATGTGAAACAAGTTACATGGTCTCTGAAATGATTGAAATGAAACACACCGAAAACAGGATTTAAATAAGTAACATTAACTTAGAAATAGCATTATATCACATGTTAAGTATATTGATATTATCAAATGAGGTGTATTAACATTCTTTGTCAAATATATATCTTTAAATTTAACGAATTTACTCAACCCAAATCAATATTCCCCTATTTAAGTTAGATATCCAACAAATAGGAATACTTCAAAATGACCTACACAATAACATTTCATCCTTTCTATTGTTGCTTATCTTTTGCTATATCTATTACTTATTTCTATAACATATCCACATAATCATATCCCATTCTCTGACATTAGCTTATTGAGACTAGTGACACCAAATAGAGATTAAATAATGTTGAATCAATGCTTTAATGGTGAAGAATTTGACATATACAAAATATATTGGCTGACAAAAGATAAAAACAATTGGTAATTATTTATTAAAAAAGAATAGTTGTCAAATTATTGTTCTTTTTTTTAAAGTAATAAATGGTTTTCTCAGAAAATATTACCATTTCTATCAATTTTTGTTTTTCTACACGGGAAATGAGAAAGACGTGGGCATTACTTATTAGTAACGTACTCTGAGAATACTTTGACCTCATTTAAAGAGAATTATTGTTATAAACGGGGGGGGGGGATAAGAAACAGAGGTTAATTTTCCTGATGGTAGACATGACATTAGATGAATTTGCCACCATAGCCCTTTTTATACTTAAAGCATGTCTCATTTTTTTTCTCATCCTCTCCCTCTCCTTTTTATCCCCCTTATTTCACCTCCCACTTGCTTTCTCTCTCACTTTCTTTGTATTGATAGTCACACAATTTTTTCTATTACTTACCCAAGGTTCCGGTAGCAGGCCCTTAAAGAAAAAGTCTGTAGTTGTCGGTTTCATCAGACACAGAAAACTGACGATAAAGTTCGTATAAAGTTGTGCCATTTTGTAATGTAATAGAGACGTAGAAGGATGAGTTGCTCCCCTTTGTAAGCTGGTGTATGACGTCATTTCCTTCAATACGTTAATGTAGGAGTGTGTTAGTAATTGATAAATTAAATATAGGTGAAATCTTTAAAAAGTAAATAAAGTCTTACAAAATTAACACGATATAAATTGCAAAAAGTGTATTTACAAAAAAAAATCCCATTCCTTAAAATATACCATGGGTCAAATAAGTAGATTTCGCTTGAGATATAAACAGAAGTAAAATAAAAACCATTTACCAATCCATTAGGAGTCATTAGGGGTTCCCAAACCCTTTTTGTGCTCCGCCCACATTTTGTCAAAACTCAGGGATCCACCCACCCGTTTCTGGATTGCCTACAAGTTATCAACAGAAAATAGATATCTTGAAATCCGACGAACTTTTGTTATCTTTCTGCTTTTTGTAATTTCGATCGATCGAGAGAGAGAGAGATCTTACTGTCCACCCTCCGCCTTCAGTCTCCATATCACAGTGCACGCTGACCTGGATCTCGTTATGAAAAGGATATATTTCATAAACACCAGACTGTGTTTGTCCTTGTAGATAATGGTCCTTACAATCTGTTGCTTTTGAACCTTAAAAAAGAATGACACATAATAATAATACACACACACACACACACACACACACACACACCGTCACACACACACACGCACACACAGAGAGGGAGGAATACCTTTCTTAACGGTTTGGAATGTTCTGTTATTTAGAAGTTCGTATATCTCGGCGATGTTTCTATTAAACTTCTGTTCAGTTTCTTGAATCTTGTTCTCACAACTCATTGCAATCTTCTCCTTTTCTTTTCTCTGTTCCCCACTCAAAAAATTAACCTGTGTTTTCAATGTATCTACCGTCTGCTGTAAAGCATTATCCTAACTTAGAGAATCAATGCGTCTTTCCAAATTTTCTATCTTCTGTGTAAAATCTTGCCCTGACTTACGTGAATATCTACCTGTCGTTTTAATAATTCTACCGTCTGCGCTAATTTATTGTTCTGAATGAAGGAATCAACCTGACTTTTCAATGTTTTTAGCGCCTGCTGTAGAGAGGAGGCCATCGTTTCTGTAGACGCCATGCTTCGCTTCACAAAACTAACGTCGTCCACTGCTGCCTTTACATCCTTGACCACGGCTAAACAGATGAGAGTTTCCTGGTTGATGATCTGTCGAAGAACGTCGATTTCCTTGATGTCGCGTCTTTCATTGATCAAAGCCGTAGAGTTCGGATTGAAAGTACCTGTTAACATTGACCCCGTTCTGACTTGTGATATTGACATAAAAAGCAGTAAAAGAATGGAAAACATCATCCTTTCAATTTCGAGTTGAACTTACCAGAACAGAACAATGTATCTCAATCAGAGATTTCAAACGATATATATATAGGGACGTTTTTGGGATTTCTTCAATCAGATGTCATACGGTGTATGAAGAGATTTTTGGCGATTTGTCAAAATAAGCGGAAAGTTAAAACCACAATACATAAAAGCACTTGATATTTGAAGTTGAACTGGAATCACACTGGGCCAAAGGATGACATATTTATCTCACCAAATGCTTTGGTTATATCATTAAGTTGATTTTAGACGAAATGAGAAAGATAACAGAGACAGAAGTGTTATGGCAATTGAAACTCTTTGCTGTTTTCTGTGCAAAATGTAAACTAAGCAATTCAAACCTGCTACGTGTTTATTTCACACTTAAATACTCAGGTATCGTGAGTTTCTGTTGATAACTTAACTCTTCTATACATATCTTCCTTTTTTATAATTCTTAGATTTTACATGTTTGTTTGTTTGTTGTTTTGTAAAATAGATAGGAATATGAAAAGAAAATATTTACAAATACGAAAAATATATTCGAAAATTATATCTATTAACATTTGATATTTATATTTAACTTAGTAATTGCAGTTTTAATACGAGCTGGAAGTCCTAACCCTATCCCTGAAAAAAAGACTGAAATTTAACGAGCATGCTCGGTTTTGTTTTCAACTGAACACGTAGACTGGCAAATATTATGATATTAATATTAAACAATATTTGAGAATTTGCTAGGATTTTTTTTCCTTACAATTGTCGTTTTATATTAATATTCAATCAAATAATGTATCCTACACATGAAGTATTTCTATCTTTTTTTCTTTAATGGCACACATTTTTTTACTTTAAAAAATGATATTGTTTAGGTTATTAATTGTAAGACAACTTACTCATTTGCTTAAACATATTATGCAGATAATTTGATTTTATTTGTAACATGCATTTTGATTGGCTGAATACACAGTAAAAATCAGTTCATTTTGTATAACCTGGTTAGTTATGTTGACACCCCCCTTGACAACCCCAGCCGGAACTACTTTTTTATGTATGTGCATGTAAATATTACATATGTATTTACATCTTTGTATACATATGTAGATTATTTGCAACTTGGATAGCAAAGCAAATAAAAGTAAAAATTCTTGTTCCATTTATGCTTATTTAGCATAAAAATTAAGGATCGATTTTGAGTGAGTAATGTTTTCTGTGACATCCGGCCACAGAACGTCTGCTTTGTTTACAAACAGAATATTGAATCAAACTTCAATCTTAATTACGATTTTAATCAACATCTTGAACAAACAACAAGCAGTAATCATGAGGATGAAAATGACTGGGAGGCTTTGGAGTTCCTTCTTGTTGATGAGTTCACGCTTGAAGAAGTTGAGGTAGGCCAAGATTAAGCATCTACATCATCTGAGGATACCATTCAAGAACTGGAGGATGCATTTCTGCTTAGAGAAAAGAAAACTTTGCACCACCAAAAATTCATAACTTATCAGGCCAAACTAAAAGATTCAAAACTGTTACAGAAGAAGAACTCATTGATCTTCAAGAAAAAAGGCAGTCACTCTCTACTAAAAAAACCCCAAATGGGGTGTAAAATTATTTCAAGGTAAAAAAAAAATAATTATAAGTTGATAGGGGTAATGGAATTTATACATCAATACACCATAATTTTAACCCAGATTGGGAATTGCATCCAAATCTCTTATGACATGATCATAAGCGCTTTCGATAAGCTACCAAGGTGTTTCTTTTGGTTTTGACAATTTCTAACCCCTTACTCCCTTTGTTTTTTCTAGATTGGAGCATGGAAAATTATTTAAATAAAATTATTCTACTCGGTAAGGATTGATTGTCAAAAATGGCGATAAAAAAGATAAATATCTTAATGTGAGGATCAGACAAATTTTCCTGGTTGTGCAATCAGATAATGTTTAAATAGGTAGTAAAAAGCTAATGCTAAGTACGTGTTAGAGACGCCAATAAATAAACTTTATACATATTTCTAAAGGGGGGGGGGGGAAATTAAGCGTTGCCTTTTCGATGAAGATGTTTTTCAGAATCTGAAATCAAAATAAATTTTAGTTTTATACGCAATATGTGAACTTTGGCATTGAATAGACATTTAATAATCAAAATGAAGTAAGGCTTTATAATTTCCAGGTCCGCTTTAACGCTCTATTTATTGTACCTGGCTGTTACTCTATGAATATGACTCTGCAATTTCTGTTGATGTAATACTGAATCATAAAAAATAAAACATTATGTGCAATGAATCTTTTCTTTACAACTAATGTAGTATTGAACCTTATGGCTAAACGGAATATAAAGGGAAAACAAAATACGATTATCTGGCCTTGCAATCTTTTGATGTTAGGCATAAAAAAAATCAAAACAAGGGTAGGTTTGTGCATACAATGAAATTGACTTTCTAGAAGGCATTGACAAAAAACGTGTCCCCCATCCATTAAAGATATAATTATGCAAATTCCAAGCTATATCTGTACTCTGTATTAAGATCAAATAGCTAATTCGGCATTGTCTGTTTCAATTCAAAGGTCAATTCTTTGTTTAATTTTATTATTTTTTTGGGTTTAATTTTTAGGTACTACAATTACAAAGACGATATTTCTTTTCATGGAATATTACCATACATTTGTATACGATATGGTATCTACGTGAGTATTCTAAGAGTATTATAAATAATTCACTTTTAAGGGAGCCAACTGGGGTTTTATTGTGTGAAAACTACTACAGAGAAACGCTTTAATTCTATACCATATGTACCTTACATTGACTTCAGTATACATGCCAAGTTTAGTGAAAATCTACCGTCTGATTATGTTTTAGGGACCATCTCAAAATACAGGTACCTTTACTATAAAAATATATAGGAAAATACTACTTTTTCGCACTTCGGAGCAAATTATGCAAATTCTACTATAAACTTTTTACTCAAATTATATTATTTGATTGATAATACTACATTGTACATTTTGTGCAAGAAACACAAAATTCTACCGTCTGGTTTCCAGAGGGGGCATTTCAAAATGTCAAAATACATGATATTTTCCTGTTTTTATGGAGTACAACAAAACCTGACAGATACCACAGATTTACATAAAAATAATAAATCAAAGTACTGAAAGTACTGTTCAGATACCACAGATTTACATAAAAATAATAAATCAAAGTACTGAAAGTACTGTTGGAAGTTGATTTTACAGACGGTTTCAATAAAATTCAAATTATGTAACCTTGTTCACAACTTTTCAAATTATGTACAACATTAGTGCTTCATAAGTTGGTTTGTGAGAAGTAAATGACTAAGAGAATGTCACGATTCTACAGAGTTAAATAGGTAAGGGTTATTCTAATTTGTCCTTAACTTTGGAATTATATGCGAAAACCTGTCAGATTTCTCCGCTGTTGCAATTTTTTTCCAGTAATTTCAGGTACATGTATTTCCTCATTTGGTTCTGTATTTAAATGTGTAATGGAATGGAATGCACTTTTTTAACAAAATGACGGAAAGTTGATGGTTTGTGACGGTGCATATTGTCGTTTTGTACATATTGTCGTCAGCGTCAATATGTACCTATGTACCTACCCTCACGGCACATATTGTCGTCCATCGGTACATATTGTCGCCGATGACAATATGTACCGAGACGAGCCTTATTTTCCTCCTGCATAACGGACGACAAAATGTACAGTCAAGCACCAGCACATATGGTCGTCGGCGAGAATATGTACAGTCAAGGTCGGCATATATTGTCGTCGATATATTGTTTTAACGAATATTTACTTGAGAAAGGAAAGAGAGACTGACAAACACACACACACGCACGGAGAGAGACGGACAGTATTACTCGCAATACTGTAGGGAGAAAACGTTTTGGTCAGAAAATTGTGTCTGTTATAAATCGATTTTCGTTGCCATATTTTCAAATTTAATATTGAATCTCAGATTTAACTACTCCAACGAATTAAATCACAGAGTTAACAAGTTTTGTACATCCTCGTCGCCATTGTAATATCTTAGAAACAAAACCGGAATAATTTTTTATATATTTTATCTAATAAGCACAAATATGTACAGCCTGACTACATTAGATATCAGTTAGTAAGTGTCTTTGTACTAAAATTATTTTGTATTTAAAGGCTTCAGAGCCTGGGAAACAGGAAATTAGATTACTCACTTTCAGATTAATGTCAGTAGGTTACTGAACTCTGGGAGAGTCAGAGAGCTAAATTTGCTAACCTGTCAAATCAGTATAAACAGATTGTGTAACAATTCTAGTAAATTCTAATACATTACAGTGTCCAGGATTCATTTACATCACCATGATATGTTAAGATACCGTAATTCTTGAGATATCTGATAAATTAGCCTATTCTTTTTCTTGTTATATATATACTTGAAGATTGAATACAACATTTATTAGTTTTTTGTTCAGTAGTAATGATTATTTGGAAATTATTTTTTGCGTTATTCTTATACACAATCATATGCTGATAGATTTGGTGTTGACATTTTAAGATCACCTGAACTAAAAGTTCAAGTGAGCTTTTCTGATCACATTTTGTCTGGCCGCCGTACCTCTGTCCGTCATCTTTTCACAATTTCAGCTTCTTATAAAGAACTACTGGGTCAATTTGAAGCGAACTTGCCACAAAACATCTGTGGATAAAGTTGATTCAAATTTGTTTAAATGAAGGGTCATGTCCTCTTTCAAGGGTAGTGGATAAAAGTTTAAAAGACATCTTTTAGAAATCTTCTGAAGAATCAATGTGTCTGAAAAGTTGAAACATGTGTGAAAGCTACATTATGAAGTATAGATTCAGTTGTATTCAGATCGTGTCCATCGAGGGAAAGGTGTGGCTACAAAAGGTGATCAAATTTTTCATAACTTATTTTGAAAAAAAATCTTTCAATTTTTTTTAAGAGCTTCTGGGTCAGAAGAGATGACACTTACGTG